AAGTCACGGTTCTTTCGGATGAGACCTTGAAAACCGAGCTCCCGTATCACGGTAGGCGTTGGTCGTTAAAGATCCTTCACTGCTACGGTCATATGCGCCATGCGAAGGTCAAAATTTGTGCAACTTCACCTAAAGCAGTAGATGTCTCTGTATGAGTGAAAATTCTCGAATGGGACGTTAAACAACATATAAAAGAGAGAGGGGGAGGGGGTCTTTTACAAAAATTATGTAAAATTGAAAATTACTATTGCAAGAAGAGAAAAAATTTAGGTTTCTGCCATTCATTGGAAATTTTTTTAGAAGACTTGATTGAAGCCAAATTATATTTCTGTTGTCTTGTACAAAAACGATTTCTCATATACGGAGGTTGTCCATATATTTCGTGGACAATAATGTTCTTGTCGAAGTAAATGGTCCTATAGATATACTTATTGCATACCAAATATTTATTATGAAAATCCAAGTCAGAATAGTTTGGTTTTGGTTATTTGAACTCTTTTTTTTTTGGTAAAAATCGCGGTCTGTAAAGGTCGCAGATAGTGCGCACGGTCCAGGGTTAAAATGTTATAAGCTTTGAATTTAAGTTTTCTTGTTAAAATGATTATTTTCTTTTAAAAAAAACAAAACGTAGTAAAAATTAAATGCGTTTTAAATAAAGCGGTTATAGTCATTTTTTTTCATATCTTTAGTATAGCTTATTGGAAAGTTAGTTAAAAATTTAGAAAATAAAACGCAAAAAAATGACAGAAAAAGCGATTTCGGCCATCCGAATTGAACAACGGCCAATTTTAAAATCATGTTTTATTATTGTTGAAACGACTTCATAGAAAAACTAATTATTCAAACAACTGGAAATTATTGGAAACATTTTGGTTTATTTTTCACATGTGTATTTCTTGTGAGAAGGCCTTTCCTTTGGCACCATTAAAATTGACCTTTTGACCTTGACCTTGATGTTTGACTTACTTTTGAAAAACTTTAACCTTTTCCATATCTATTCAATGGTTGCTGCTGGGGCTTTCATATTTCACAGGTATATTCCTCGAGACAAGACCTTACTTTGGGTTCCAACATATTTGATTTGCATTTGAGAAAGTTTAACCTTTGCTATAAGTTGCCATACGGGGGCATCAGTGTTTCACAAACACATCTTGTGGGTTTTTTATTAAATTTAAACGCTTAGTTTGAGTCTTATTCATCATAAAGCTTTAAGTTAAATGCAAAATTATCATAATGGCACATTTCTTCAGTAAAGTTCTCAACAAAAAAGCACATATAGCTTTAAAAATTTTCTGCATAACTTAAATTTTGCCAAATATTTGGTAAGGTGTAGGTCTAAAAATCTTACCTTCACAAAACTGTATTCCATCCAATCAGTTGAAAATTTCATAGTATAAATGTGTAATATCTATATATTAACAAACAGTACAAATCGTAACATGATAAGCAATATACAATGCAAACGAAAATTATACAATACTAATATACATGTATATTAGATATTAAGAAATCAATAAGAGACCCAAAAAGGGGCTTGTCTCAGTGAATATACCTATGAATAATGAAAGCTCAAACACTAACCATTCAAAAGTTATGGCCAAGGTTGAAGTTTTTTTAGGTGATGAAATTCCAAGGTCAAGGCCAAAGGGTCAAAATTAATGGTACTCAGAGGAAAGCCTTGTCATAAGAAATACACATGGGAAATATAAAAGCCCTGGCACCAACTGTTCAAAAGTTGGCCTAAGTAAAATGTTTTTCAGAGTAGGTCAAACTCCATGGTCAAGGTTTAAAGTTCAAAGTTCTTGGTATCCAAAGAAAGGTTGTGTCACAAGGAATGCACCTACGAAATATGAAAGCCCAAGTACTAACAGTTCAAAAGTTATTTCCAAGGTTAAAGTTTTTTAAAAGCTGGTCAAACTCTTTGGTCGAAAGGTCAAAAATATCTATACCCATGGAAAGGTCTTGTCTCAATGAATATTTATGAGGTATGAAAGCCCTAGCATCAACTATTCAAAAGTAATGGTCAAGGTTAAAGTTTGATAATTTATTTTTGCAATAGTGGGTCAAACTTGAAAGTCAAGGTCTAGAGGTCAAACATGTTGCTTTCCAAAGAAAGGTCTTGTCACAAGGAATACACACGTGAAATATGAAAGTCAAAGCTTTATCCAATCAAAAGTAATGGGCAAGGTTAAAGGTTTTGCGGACAAACAGACAAACACATTCGCCGTTAACACTATGTATTGAGAAGGTCTGCGGAACATGTTGTAATCAAATTTTGTATAAAAGCAAAGGCCTAATAATTGATATGAAACACGTCAGCCATGATACGACTCAATGATACGCTAGCCAAAGTTTTAAACATGCAAACAGATGTGATGAGTTATATACATAAAAAATTATTAATGCTGTTTGAACAAGAAAATTGTCGTAAATAGAGAAAATGGTAACTTATTTAGGGCCATAATTTAGTAAGATGAAATAATTAGAAGCAAACCAGCAACTTTTCGCAAGTATTTAAAGCAATATTCCTCCAATTACGGAACTTTTGCACTCGCAATGTAGTTTATTATCTAAAATCCATGCATAATTCATACAGCAAAAATCGAAAAATAACTCCCCTGCGCAATTCTGTACTAAATTATCTATATAAATCTTTCCCAATACTCGTTTAGGTCAGTTAATGAGATCAATACACAGTGAATGTATTTAGAAGAATTTCTGAGAAATATTTGGTTTTCTTCGTCTGAGATTAACAATCTCAATGAAACATTTATCTTTTCAATATTTATTATGGAGAAATCTTGACCAAGAATAAAAAGGTCATAATTTGTCAAACTAATGTGCGGTGTACGTAGTTTTTGCTTGTAGTATAAGAAGAGAATTGTTCAAATAATGGTCCCTGGAGCTAGGAAAGGGCCATAATAGATGGTGAAAGTTTTACATAGCATGATATAATTAAAATTATACTAAGCCTCTTCTAATGAAACTAGAGGCCATAAATCATCACGTAAGTAGTAGAGCATCTTTTTGTAATGTCGAAATACCGGTATATTTGTTATATTCTCCCTTACCAAAGCTATTGCCTTCCTGCAAACATTTGCTGCAAGTCTGCAGCGAACTTGCTGCAGACATTGCTGCAAGCTTACTGCAACGAAGCTAAAGACACCATGACAGCCTATACAAAGCCTTTGTGATTGCAGCAAGTTTGCGGCAAGTATGCAGCAAGCTTGCAGCAAACATTTTGCCATGCAAATGAGGTTTGCTGCAAGTTAGCACCAAACACTGGATTTTCCAAATATGGAAACCTTGCTGCAAGCCTGCGGCAAACATTGCTGCTAACTTGTGGCAAGCAATATAATTATTGTTTTTAGCACGTTCCTGCGTACAAGCAGCAAATTCGCAGAAAGCCTTTGTCCTTAATCTGTTAATTATAGAGAAAATCCACCACATGTGTCTGAAATGATGCAAGCTAGTTTCTGAAGTGTCGATAGTCTCTCTTTATGTTCCTAGACAATGTTCACATATTATTCTTAATAAAATTAAAAAAAAATTTTTGGACATGTACACAAAATTAAAAACCTTTGCACATTACTTAACAATAAAATTTTACAGTTAATAGCAATTTATTTGAAAGCATATAACATTTATTATAATTGATTTGGAACCTTTAACACATTTAAAGAAACATACAAATGTGATATCAAAATAAAGATTAAAATTCATAAATAGATTAAGATTTGACCTAGCAAGTATATCAGTCACTTAAGCATGCTTTAAGAGATAATTGTTTCATATCAAAATAAAACAAATCAGATCTTACTAAATATATGTTGTGTATGCCAATGTACATCTACATCCAGAATTATGCTTTTGTAATCATTCAAAAAGGTATATATTCCTAGCAAAATACTGAAACATCTATAACTTCAATTCAAACATTTCAAAATGGCGAATTCTGTGTTGACCCCGGTACAATCTGCATTTCATTGGCTGATTTGACTTGTTTACTGTTCATGCGAACTTCCTGCAAACATTCAATTTGTTAAATGTTTGCTTCGAACTTGCTGCAACAACAGACTGGTGTGTATGTTTCTTGCAATGTTCCTGCAAACATGTTGAGTTCCTGCGAATTTGCTGCAAGCTTACAGCAATTGCTGCAATGTTTGCCGCAAGATCGCAGCTAGCGGCAATCATCTGCGAACAAGAAAATGTTCTTCCTGCTAACAATTTTGTTTGCTGCAAACTTGCGGCAGACTTGCTGCAGGTCTGCAGCAAACATAACAGTTCGGTAAGCGCTTGGTTGCTGGGGCAAAGACGAGTTCGCAACATGAGTTTAACATAAGGGATATATAGGAATGACCTTTAAAAACATCTTTTCAAGAGAGCATGGGCACAACTGGTCAAATGATAATTCAAGAACTTAAGAATTTACATATCATATAGATTCAAGTTTGTTCAAAGCATGGCGTGAGAGACTGGGTGAGGGCACAGTTGGGAGTACAAGTTCTATAGAAATCAAACATCTGGAAGAATCAGAAGGCTATATACAGTTTGTTAAGTTTTTATTTAATTTGGAGACAACAATACGAGATTTCATTCATCTACATTTTCATATTCATTTGTAAGGGAGAGAATAGTGATTTAGGGGAAACTGTGGCCAAAGTGCCACTTGTATTGCACCTTTTATGAAAATCGTACGTTAAAAGAATTTAGAAGTCCTTTTTATTTACGATTCTGTTTATACATTTTTGTCTGCACACTCTTCATAAACCGTTACTTTGGTACATTGCTGCATATCATTAATTAGTGAGTACTTGGATACAACTTTTAGGGAGTGGGGATTAGTGAGTGTTACTTGACTACACCTTTTAGGGAGTGGGAAACCTAAGAAAACTGAAATAAGATTTACTGAATTCTCTTATAAATAAATATAGAAACAAAATGAAAATAATTTCTATTTTTATATTCATATTTTATCCTAATTAATATATATTTAATAGGTGCATGGATAGGAGGAGATGTTTTCTGCCAGTTATTTGCCTACTTCAGCAATTCTCTGATCTCTTTCGTTATTTTGGGGGCAACTCTGGCGACATTTGAAAGGTGCAGTAGCATTATTGAATTAGATGTACATGCATGGAAATTATTTGTGCTCTGTATTACTCAAACAATATTAGGGACTGTAATGTAGAATGCTGTTGACTCGTCTAGACAATTAACAAAAAGAGCAAGAGTTTCTTTTCTGAACACATTATGATGGATTTATGGAATGCTTTCGTTAATTTTTTTTTTAAAAATATCCATTCTTACATTTTTCCTATTTGCATTCATACATGAAATTAGATATACAATGTATGCATAATAATCATCTTTTTTAAGAACACAGACCACAAACTCCTTGTCTTTGAGAATTGATAATAAAGTAATTTATCATTTTATGGAGAAAATAATTCATATTTTAATCTACAGGAAGTATGCTGTGATTGACCCGGACAAACATCTACAAGTATTTACACCAATCAACACCAAGCTTCTGGTGGCGGGATTTTGGATGTTGTCCGTCTTGCTTTGTGCTGGTCCCCTTTACGGCTGGGGAGAATATTCAAATTTTAAAGGTAACAGCATTCTCTATGTAATTTAAAGAGTAATTTTAAATACTCTAAACAGTTTTTTCTTTGTTGAACAAATGTTTTTACAGCGCTTCTTTAAGATCAACCTGATATATGTTTAACCACATTGTTTGATTTAATTTTGTCTCCTAATAAAACATACGTAATCAAAGATTACAAAGCTCACCTCGACGAATGTTATTTATAAATAAGGTAACTCTCACATCATATATTTTTTTCATAGTTAGTGTGCATCCAAAGATCAATATCAATGCAAGTTTCGTTTAAGTAGAACTTACAACTTGGAAAGTTACTTGGAAATGGACCTACTCTAAAAACATGTTCACTAATCAAAAAAATGTCGGTCAGTTCCAGCATCCGAAGCAAGTCTTGAAGTGTTCATCCTGAGATGCATTATCCATGCAAGTTTAATCATAACAAGCCATATAATTAAAGAGCTACTCCAAAAACATTACCCTGGTCACTCATCTGGAAAATGTTTCCAGATTCAACATCCGAAGCAAGTCTGGAAGTGTCCACCCCTAGATACATCATCTATGCTAATTTGGATAAAAGAATGGCTTAAATTCAGTTATCTGGAAAATATGGGTCAGATCCAGCATCCGAAGTAGGTTGGGTAGTGTCCATCCCTAGAAGCATCATACATGCAAGTTTGGTCAAGGAAGGGCTTATTGTTACTAGGAAATGGACTTGCTCTAAAAACTTTAACTTGGTTACCCATCTGAAAAATGTTGGTCAGATCCAGCATCCGAAGCAAGTCTGCTAGTGCCCATCCCTAGATGCATTATTCAGGTACATGTAAGTTTGGTCCAGGAAGGGCCTATAGTTATTTTGGAATAGACCTGCTCCAAAAACCTTAACCTGGTGAGTCATCTGGAAATCTTTGGTCAGATCCAGCATCGGAACCAAGTCAAGTATGTTCAACCATTGATGCATCATCCATTCATGTTTGGTCCTGGTAGGGCTTAAAGTTACTTGGGAATGGACCTTCTCCAAAAACTTACCCTGGTCACTCATCTTGAAAATATAGGTCAGATCTAGCATGCGAAGTCTGGTAGTGTCCATCCCTAGTTGCATTATCCGTGCAAGTTTGGTCCAGGTAGGGCTTATAGTTACTTGGAAATGGACTTGCTCCTAAAACTTTAACCGGGACCCGCCACAAACGCCGACGCCGAGGGTATAGCATAAGCTCATCTCGACTTCGTCGAGGTGAGCTAAAATCAATAGAAAATATGCTGATGATAACGAAGAAACAGTTCTTACTGTTTGTTTAATGCCAAGGAATTTAGCTACATGTACATAAATATTAATAAATTTTCTTATATCATTATTACTTATAATGATATATATAGATATTACTTAATTTGGCATGTAATTAAACTATCCCTTACAAAGAAAATATTTATAGTAAACTTTTGATATCTAAAGTAAGTTATAGATTCTAAAGTTAATCAAAGTACCAAAGTATATTGAAAATGAAGTTATCATAGTTTTTAATATAGTAAATCAAAGCTTGTATTTTATTGTAAATCAGAGTTTCTACTACAGTAAATTTAAGTATTTAAATATGAAAAAATATTTCGTTTCATTTATGAGATTTTTTTTATAAATAAAGGAAAGATTTCTGGTATATTGAAATAGTATTTCTAAATTCATCCTCATTGGTATGGAATTTCGAAGTATTACTGTGTTACTTTTAATAATTAAATAAAGTTAACGCTAGTGAACCATAGCAAATTCAATGGCTGAAGTTTTGACATTGTGCATGTTAATTACATCGGATCTATAGCAAGTGCGCTATAAATAAAAAACAGACAACACAATAAAATGAAAGACATTTGAAGTAGAGCGATTTCGTTAAGTTTACAAGCTCTTTTCAAAATTTTCAGGTGTAATGAAGATTTTGATTTCTGTAACATTGGATAGGAATGATTCAGAGAGCTTTACAGACTCTCCTCAGAATACAACGCTTGGCAGCATTTTGTGTCAACCGAACAACGGAACGCACTACAACAGAATGCAAGAAATTGCAGATAGGACAATGTCCACTGTCCTGCAAGAATGGCCTGGCACATTTCGTCGCTCATTAATAAGTAACTGTGAAAACGGACAAATTATTCTTCTACTCAGAGCACAAAAAACCGCAGTAGCCGATTTTATCTTCCGCGATATTTCAGTAATGCGTTTTGATGACGTCATTATGGAGAAAAACAATGAATCTGTCGGTCATGAGACAGGATTGTTATTGAAATCTACGGTGGATAGAAATGATTTTCAGCTGTACAGAGACACGTATATTTCTTTCCAAAGTAAGTTCACTATATATATTTACAATCTAATTTAATGAATTTGATTTTATATAAATCCCTGAATTTAAGTAATAGATCCTTTTCTTTAAAAAAAAAAAAGCACTTTCGTCATCATCTCATTATTTATTGATTCAACTTACCTGTAATGATTTTGATATGCTTTGTAAGATAACAGATGAGAAAACACAAAAAAAAAATTGTTACAATTGGGCAAAATTGTATTCAACCATATTTCAAGTGGAAGTCCTCACTACATAACTATCTCTACAAATATTTATCGACTATTGGTTCCAACTTTTTAATTACAAGAAAACTCTACAGTGCCTAGAATTCGAACACCCGAAATGTAACGTCTTCATTATCTTCTTCTTCCTACAACTATAATCCTATTAAAGGTGTCAATCCTGATGCCGAGAATAAGTTAACAACGAGAACCTTAACTCACATATTTTAAAAGGTTCAAAATTTAGGGAACCTGGATCTTTTATCTGGCGACAAAATTTCACAAATACTATGAATTCTATGGAATTTGAAAGAGAGGACCTTGACATTTTGTCAGAATGGATTAAAAGTATAAGATGTGTGTTGAATTCTCGTGTTAAACGGTTGAGGGACAATATGAAAACCATCTATCCTTCTGTCTTCAATAATTCACAAGTGAAAAAAGAATTAGATAGATTTCACGATTAATTTGCACTGGTTCCATCTGACAAAGCAGGTACCAACATAGGTTTTGTTTGTAAAGTTTATTATTACAATTGCAATTTTAAAAGAAATTGGATTTAATTGTATAAGTAGTAATCCAACTTTTACTTTAGTTCCCTTTCTAAAATGGAAATTATTTTTAAAAAAAAATCATATATCAGTTTTGAATAGTTTTAAAATTCCCAACGACCAAATTGAATTTGAATTAACATACAGCTGTACCTATATTTGATTCCTAAACTTCATAAACTTAAAAAATAACTTACAAAGATACATAGCGGATTGTAGTAAATGTTCCACCAAGCCCCTTTCTTTACGCCTCGCGAAAATATTAACAGCAGTGAAGGGAGACCTTCAAGAGTACTGTACATTTTTAGGTATCTACATATTATATCCACAGTTGCATACCTTGTCGTTGATCATGTGCAAACTTATTTTGTTTAAAAAATTCTAGTTCTTTGCACAATGAAATATGGAGATAACGAGCAGTATTCAAGCTCAAAGTCCATTAAAACAATACAAATCTGGAGAAGAGGAAACACGGATCTCCAAAAACATCAGAGCCATGGAGGAGTGAGCATCCCCTGACGACCGGTCACACCCGCCGTGTGCTCCTTGTCATGATCGGTAAATAACAAAAAAAGTCGACAATTCAGTGTGTAAATAATGGCCTAACTATTAGTATGAAAAACATCAGTCAGCATATGACTTAATGATAGATTGTATTTGCTGATTCCATAGTACATATTCTAAAGATGCTTGAGTTCCTCAGTTAATGCAATATCTATGATATCTTTGTAGACCAGCTCTTCCCACAAACTGTTGGAATTCCCATAGGCACTTATTATGTCCCATTATTAGCAGACATGTTTTTGTATTCGTATGAAGCAGAATTTATTCAAAAACTTCGAATTCTACATGAGAAAAGAAGTCTGTTGCTTTGGCCTTCATTTCCACATTAAGATATATCGACGTCTTTTTTACATTTAAAGTCCTACGTTGATTCTATATGAAAAATCTAGTGTAAAGCCAACATATCAAAAATCAAAAATTTTATGGTCAATAAAATGAAACAAACTGTTGTTAAGTCGAATGTTGACTGGTATCTTTCATTCAAATTGATATTTTATTTCTGTTTACCTATTCATGGAAGAGTACACGGAGGTTGTGACCGGTCTACCAGGAATGCTAACTTTTCCATGGCTCCTGATCCCAATCTGTGTTCAGAGGTCCTTGTTGGTTCTGCTCATTAATAGACTTTAAAGAATGATCACTGTTCATTATCTTACATTTCATGATAAATAAAAATCTCCCATGCTTTTTGATTGGGTATGATTTTTATATTGCTCGTTGTGTGTTTCTTTTTTACAACAAAAATGGTAGAGCTAATTAGAAAAAAATCATATCCGGTCATCAACCATCAATGTCAGATTAATACTAGTACATATGACCGCTACTCATATCACCATCAATGATTTTGAATTTCTCTTATATTTAATTTTTGAATTTCTGTGATGTAGATTGACATACATTTCCATTTAAAACTGATATTGAAGACTTTCACTTTAATTGATTGTAATATACAATGTTCAAAGTACATTTGTAAATTTAAATAGAAATATATCATTTATTTTCAGGCATTGGTGTATGCTCTTTGGATTTCTCACCTACAAACGCTTATGTGTTGTCCTCGACAATTTATGTGTTGTGCACTACTGTTATTGCACCCCTACTGCTAATGATATTAAATGTATTGGTTATTTACAAACACATTAAGTGCCCCTACTATTCACTTAATGGTGACGTTCCTTACCTCAGATGCGTCAACGTTGGAGGAATTGCGTCAGCTATGTGCTGTATACCGTATTATATTATTAACTTTTTGAATATGCATGGAGTAGTGATTAACAGAATAGTGAATATATTGTGTACAGCAATGTTTTACAATGCTCCACTTTGCATATCCTTGCCATTTCTAATTAAGTACATTTCAAAATTGCTCAAAAGGAGACCAACAAGGCCCATAGTGGAAGCAACGGAACTACAAAGCATTGTAGACTCAACAGTTGAGTGAGATTTTATGCAAGGGCACTGAAGTCTGTACAATGTTCATCTCAGGCAGCGATTGATTTTTTGTTCAAAGAATGTTTTTGACGTTTTATTAATTTCATTGCCTTCATTTACATCTCAGCCGTTGTTTAAATCAATACTTGATAGAATTATACGGTTTTTTTCACGGAACATAATAAAGATTTCTATACGAAGTCAATCTGGATTTCACATTAAGTATTTTTATCAATCAATGGTGGTTTTGCTATATCTTGATACTAGAGTTTTTTTATATCTTACTTTTTTTCCTGCCGTTATAAAGACGTTCTATTAAACTTAATCGATGAATTATAAATTTTGACTTGTTTTGAAAGAAACACATTATATATTTTATCCTTTCAGAACCATTTTACTTAGATTGGATACATTTAACTTGAAACAAACCAGTAAGTCAAAATTTAGAAGCGTATGAAAAATAACAATGTTAATTGTCATTCGGGAATAATTTTTATTGCCTAAATTTTTAACTACACTTATGCAAATCAGATAAAACTGATACAAAATTATGCTAGACAAAGCGTTTTATTGACAGTTTAATATTTTGCTTTTATTTTCATTCACATTTATGATATTAGTCTGGCGACACTTCATGACTCGCAGACATTTAAAATGTAAAGAATACTGAAAATAATACAATGTATATTGACTTTGTATAAAGCTACAGATCTAACCAAAAATGCAATTAATTTTTCGATCTTCCTTTTAAAAGATTATTATCAACCCGATTTTCAGGCTAATTGAGTTACCCGAGTGACTCAAATCTTGGGTCGTTTGAGTAAATCAAATGATTCGATTAAAATATGTCATCAGCTCATTTTATCATTTTACTATATTTTTATGCAAAAGAGATTTGAATAATGTACATGTAAAGAATGCTAAATATTGTATAAAAACAGATCCAATAAAAATTTCGAAACTTTTTATTAAATCTTCATTTTAGAAAGATTCTCATTGACTTAATTTTCGGGACATTTAAGTCGCTCAGATGAATCGAGTTTTAAGTCATTTGAGTCGTTTAAGTGACTCAAGTTTTAGGCCACCTCAAGTCACTCGAGATTTAGACCATTTGAGTTTCTTAAGTGGCCCATTGCTCTCCTTTCTCATCCAACCTTGTACACTGTGATTCATGCATCATGAGATGTAGGTAAACTTTTGAACATGCATAGATTTTACTTCCCCCAAATCTATTTAAATGAAATGAGCGGCAAGTTTAGAGGTAAATTTGTCTGTCCGCCTGACACAACTTTGCGGGAAAATATACTAGTAACTAGTAAACAGGGAAAGATTTATTTAATTATGCTTATAACGGGTTGCTAATGACCTGTTACAACATTTTGACCGTCATTGCTAAAGAATTAATCCATTGCCTGTCAATAATTTAGTGTAATTAGAGAAACCAAGGAATTATATTTGACAAGATTATCAAATATGTCCTATTTTGGTATTCATATGAAGCGGAATTTATTCCAAATCTTATACATGAGAAAAAGAAATCCCTTACTGTGTCCTTCAACTCGACATTTAGATATATCATTGACGTACGTATTATCAATTAACAATAGTTATTTCCATTCATATGTCGACACCATATACCCCAGTGAACTTGAAATAAAATACATGTATACTATAGAGTCTGATACATCTGTTTCATATCTGGATATTTTACTAGAAAAAGACGTTAATTGTAATCTACATGTAACAACAAAGCTTTATGATAAACGTGATGACTTTAACTTTTCAATCGTCAACTTCCCTTACTTATGCAGCAATATACCTTCATCACCTGCATATGGGGTGTATATCTTTCAGTTGATTCGATACGCAAGAGCATGCTCTACGTATGAACAATTTATAAAACGAGGTAAGTTATTGACAAATAAGTTGATGAAACAAGAATATCAACAGTCTCGTTTAAAGTAATCAATTCGTCAGTTCTATGGTCGATACAATGACCTTGTCAGCAAATACAATCTATCATTGAGTCATATGCTGACTGACGTTTTTCACACTAATTGTTAGGCCATTTTTACACACTGTATTGTCGACGGATTTTTTCCATTATTTCCCGATCATGACAAGGAGCTACGGCGGGTGTGACCAGTCGGCAGGGGATGCTCATTCATCCATGACACCTAATCCCACCTTTGATGTTTTTGGAGGTCCGTATTTGCTCTGCTTCCGATTTGTATTGTTTTAATAGACTTTGAGCTTGAATACTGTTCGTTATCTCCATATTTCATTCAAACTTTCCTCAAGGTTCTTTCATTTTTTTAGATTAGCTTTTTTTCAAGACTGGCCGACTGAAAATTTTAACAATTTTAAAAAAATGGAAACACTTTAATTATGATATTATTAGATTTTTGTTTTGCAAAAGTACAGAGAAATATAAAAATATCCTTTGATATAAGCTTACGTAATGATGACGTCCAGGTACCTATGCTGCTTTTTTTTTTCAATGCAATCCATCCAACTAATTTTGCGATATAACTGCAAGACTATGTATGGTCATTTTTTTTTATGTTTTAAGTTTTATTTTATGATAAATCAGTATGAAATTTACAGATAAGCTTAAAAGGCATTAAGTCCCTCTCCCTACAAATCTGCATATCAAAGGAATGGAACAAGATCATAGAGGGCCTAACCCTTGAATGTGAAATATCCATTCAATTCAGGCCCATGTATAATTTTGAACTCACACGTACAGAAGCGCTAAGCAAAGTCTATAACAAAGGGAAATTGTCTAATGAATGGAGCACTTCACTATCCACTGTCTACCAAAGAAGCAAGGAACAAAACGACGTATGCAGCAGCATACAATCAACCTCGTCATTAATGCAAGTGGCCACTACTGGTGGAAATCATTAAACTGAGGTAGAAAGCAAGAACAAGCGAGAAATAGAAGGAGAAGTGTATATATATTTTGTTGAAAGAAAAGGCGCAACCATAACCATATACAAATTTAGAACACTTGAAGAAAGACACAGGCATTCAAGGAAAGAAGTGTACCTATTTACTGATAACACCTACATGTAAGCTTCAGATACCATGATGCACAAAAATCACATCAATATACTAAAAGCACCAGATTGCATGAAGAAAGAGACCTCACAGTAATTATGAATTAATACGGGGAGCAAACTAAATCTATTCCAGGTTACTCTACAGTTCTATTTTGCTATATATATTTGCTATAATCTGGAGAGAAGATTCAGGAATTATATTGCCTCGGTATTTTTTCACCTAAACCTCAAACGAATTACTGTTATGACACCTGCAAACTACGATGCATAAGGAAGATGCAATTTTTGTCCAGTTCAAAAGATAGTAAAAGAAGTTTCATTGGAATTATTCTTGCTCAACATTGATACATGATGTTGGAGATTCAAGATCTTCCAGGCATATCTAACGTATAAAACACTATCAACAACCCCTAAATTGTTGCTTAAATTGTCCATATTACATTGGAATGGACCTACAACATCTTTAAAACACCATAAACAAAGGTCCCAAGGGCTACAATATTCTCCGGAGTCATTTTTGCCCTACTCTCCAAAATTCTTCTCTCCAAATTACCATTTTGACCTCATATTGCGGCTCCATCCTAGCCCAGATCCAAAGGGTCATGACTTAAATGTCATCTAAAAATCTTCAAAAGAACGGCTTGGCCAGAAAAGATGAAAATTTTATTAAAGCTTTCCGACATACCATGAGTTACAAAATGTTCAATTCATGCCCCGCCCCAACCTGATATAAAGTCTGACCACAATAGGGGAGCAATGTTATTAATAAGAACATACAGGAAAACAATCTTTAAAATATTCTTCTTAAGAACAGCAAGGCCATGATTATTATTCATTTTTACGTGTAGACATATTCAAGTCTGTTTTAATCATGGCCACCAGGGGTAAGGTGGGGCCACAATAGGGATCAAATATTTAGATGGAATGTACATATAAAAGAATCTGACAAAATCTCCTACTCAAAAGCAAGGGACCAAAATTAGTCATAATACTGTGAAATCACTATGGAGTTTTAATTTTCGTTGTTTTTATGGTACTCTCAGACTCATGGATTCATGTCCTCCACAAAATGTAAAGCTTCAAATAAACATCAACTTAGCACTTCTTCATGAAAACTGAAGATAACGAACAATAATCAACTCAAAATTCCATTGAAACAATGCAAATTTGGATCAGAGCAAACAAGGACCTCTAAAAACATCCACGAAATCAAATCCCCATGAATCAATATTTTTCCTCAAACCACGAAAAATTGTCAACACGAAAACGTCTGATTTTACAGTAATGTGCAAGCATTCTTCGATTTTATAGATTCAAGTTAGTGTGGATTATTACCTTATCAAAGCTTTGAAAATCTTCTCGAGAACCACTATTTATCATATCTTAATGTCATAAATAGTGGCTCTCGAGAATATTTTCTTAAAGCTTTGATCTTAATGATTGCAGATTTATATTTGTGCAATATAATGGGTTTGGTGGAGCTAAACTAGGAAGTTTTACATGAGAATATGCAGGAAATGATAAGAAATTTTGTTAAAATTTGCAGGGCCACACTTAATTATATTAATCTTGATTATATAAATATGCAAATATTTTTTATGCAAAAATTTAGGATTTAAGTTTTCCAAATTATGGGATTATAGTGGGGATAAAAATCGGAGATCAAATATAACATGTATAATACCATGTTTTTTTTCCTTTCATGTTAATTTGTATGTATATTATGTGAATTCTTTTCATCGTAATTAATGATAGTTAATTAATTGTTCGACTATCATTTAGAAATTTCACTCTCTATTTTGTTACTTGTACCTTTGTATGTCTTCTGGGTCCAAAATTGGAAAAAAAAAATACATTACTTACTTACTAATGAATGTATAAAGGGGGGAAAATCCACTCCAGAACAGAAAGGTCATGTTAGTACAGTTATTTTGATATGGAAACATCCCCATGTGTGGATTCAAGTTCTGTCATGATAACTTGAGGCGAGGATGGGGTCACAAAAATGACCCTGGGGTAAAAAAAAAATCATTGGATAGAGAAGAAAAACAATCTTTCAGAATCTTCTTAAAAGTGACTCAGGTGAGCTGTATAGCCCATGGGCTTCTTTTTGTATCGTAAAAAATTTGACCCTCCGATTGTAACATTACTCTCAACAACATTGTCCATTATTTGTACAAACATGAATCCACACGACATGGAATTTAGTGTCGCCCTGCTACTCTGAAAATTCAAAATTCCAAAATAAGTCATTCAATATCTTCGCTGGTTAATGGTAAGGTTGCATAGAAAGAATATGGAATTAATACATAGTCTGAAAACTCAAAGAAGTACCAAAAAATAACTGCCAAATCCACGCAATAAGGCTACTAAGAGAAACGAGAGAAAGAATACACACACTTTATGAAAACACCCGACTTGTACTTCACTATTGGGACGCTTAACATACTCGAAAACCTAACAATTACATTTAGCTTACCCGAACCAAGTTTTCATTAGTTAATAAAATTGCAGTCATTATTTGTTCGTTTGTGAAATTGCAGTGAAAATTGATTTCTTAAAAAACATGAACATTTAAAGTTTTATTTCTATAAACTCTGTACTACAAGATTATATCATATTTATAATCCACTTGTTTCAATGTTGAAGGAGTTCAATGAAACAATGGAATATCGTCTAAATGTATTCATAACATTCACTGTATCAACTTTATCAAATTATATATATATATATATATATATATATATATATATATATATATATATATATATATATATATATATATATATATATATATATATATCCATGGACAAGTTTAATAGATTAATATACTAAGTATTTTGCACATTTAATCATGATCATTAAAGGCTAAAATAAACAACATTCTACGTAAATTCATTATTCATGCATTAATCAAAATACATTAAATCAATCAAGGAAAATATTATAATAAAATGTTTTGACTAGATTCGTAAGTTCGTGTTAACAACCTCCAATATTTTCTGGGATAAAGAAAAAAACCTCAACATAATTATCATAGAGCCGTTAATCACCAGAGTTCTTTAACCTTCCGACGACCATGACAACCGCCGGGAAGATGATAAAGTATGCTTGGATCTTTTTGAGAATATTCGCGTTACTCAGATATGAATTCTGTGATTTTCCAATAAATGACTGCTGACAAACCCACGTAAATCAAGAACCAAAAATGGCGATGAGACTTTAAAATAATACAATTTGAATCCTCGTGTACGATAACTATTAAAATAAACATAGCACATGGCAATATTAATGTGTTATTAATCGATCAAAATATATGTTTATGACAACTATCTTCTATATACTTCATCTGTTAATCATGAATTTCTCAATTTCATAATTAATCAGATGAGTTTTCTCTATTTATGTACATGATCTTGTCTTTAGCACACATTTCATTATTCTGGTTTAGTAAGAAGCATTATTTGGAATCATATGTGTAGGAATGCATATTAACACATTTTAATTATCAAACACTTATTTTCAGCATAAACGTGAATCTGTGTAATTCCACTCCATGTTTGGTCAGAATGCATTTGTGATTCCAGAAATGTCTTGTAATCAACCCACAATCTGTTTACTTTAAACCTGCAAAATATTTGAACAAAAGAACATGATTTTAGCAGGGGTCATTCTGAATTTACATTTGTTTTTCATATTCACTTTGTAGTTTGTAATTATATAAAGGTATATTGAATTATTTTCAGTACTTGATTAATAATTATCTAGTACATTTATGAAAAATGTTTTCTGGACTTCAAGAAAATTATATTTTATAAAGGTCAAATGTTTCACTTTCAGCATAGAGTACCTGCCATTCTCCTTCAGGAAAAATGTTCAAAGACAACAAAGTATTGATTAACCGATATCATGTTTGCTAATTCAAATGGGAAAACATGCAAATAAAGTATTCAATTACTTCTTTTTGGTCTAATATTGAGAATACTTGATTGCAAACGGTGCAATAGATTTCAGCTTATTGAATTTTAAAACAAAAGGGCAGATCTGTTTAAATTACCAAAAAATTCAGTGAGATTTATATTGTATAAGGAGCCCTTAAATGATAACCTCAGAAGCATGCAGGTATTGCTCATTAAAAATTAGTAACTTTGACTTTTTTACTTTTGTTAAAAATATTTTTAATAAGAGTATGCCAAAAATGGCATATAAACTCTCTCTCTCTCTCTCTCCTCTCTCTCTCTCTCTCTCTCTCTCTCTCTCTCTCTCTCTCCTGACACCCCATTAAGCATGAAGACAACAAACCTATTGCAGTTAGCTGTGAGGTATCACGTCAAATTAACACCCATTCTCTTCAAAGCCAACATGGCATTTACAGCTTTCTGTAAGTAAAATTATGAACCTCTTCCTTAGGAATCATGTATTTAATTTCTCTATATACATGCATGTCGAGTTAATGAGAAAAGAAAAACTGATCTATAAGCATAAACCAAACCAGTGCACAGTACTTCTTGTGAGCCCAAAAGTATGAACTCCAATTCACAACTGATAACTTTTTTAAAAAACTTTTTGGCATGCATAAAGAAACTTAAGGTTGTGCTACCTGCCACTTTCTCCTAAATACAAATTTCTTCAGCCTCTTCTTAGAGAGAGATCGTTCTGGTAAGCGTGCTTCTCTTTTCTGTGAACGCTGAAGTAGACATCAATGTTTTATAAAGAAGAAATCTTCTCTCTATATTCCTATTTTTATTTACGAAAAAAAAAACAATGCAGATTTGCATGCGTTTGACTTTATACTTACTCTGAGCCATATGTGATCCAGACACTCACGTGCAGTCATTCTTTTCCTTGGAACAAAATGAAAATTTATAATAAAAAAAAATACATAATTGTTATATAGCTTAGATTTCGCTCTTGATTATTTTTCTGAGCAAAGGACAAGGAACCATAAGTGTCAAAGTTGTCCCTTTATTTGATATAACAATCAAGACAGTAAATTTATGATAGTTTGTAATTATCCAAATATAGTCAAACAAAACAATTTAAAAAATGAATTGGTGACTAAATGCTTTCCTAATGTTGCTCTGTTCTGAGACCCCCCCCCCCCCCACCTCCACCACCACACCAAAAAAAACAAAAAAGTTTTGTTCCATTTTAAATGCACAGATTCGATTTCTTTTTCTTGTACTGTTTCTGCAGTATTTATCTATAACAACAGTTTCACAGTTTTTTTCTACAATAAAACAGGGAAAATAGTTGAACAAACATTGCTGTTTACAGTAGCAAGAAAAAAAATCGCATTTTACAGTGTAATAGTTATGTACCTTGGATCTTTCACCAATAATTTCGATATAAAATCTTTGGCCTCCTTGGATATACTTTCGAATTCTTCTGCACTAAAGTCCCATTTAGCTGACGTCACATTGACAAGAGTGTCTGCTTCGGTGTCACCAACAAAGGGGGATAACCCTGATAATCTGTTAAATATAGTATTTGGTTTTAAAGTAATAAGTAAAATTAGTTCCAACAAACTTATTAAAAAACTAAATGAATGACTGATAAAATACTATAATGATGCATATACACATCTATGGTATCTACATTTATGCAGCTGCATTTTTTGCATCATAATTTAAAGTGGGTTTTTTTTCCTTCTATTTGAAGAAATCACATCTAAAAGCTTTAGCATGTTTCAAACTTTAATATATTTTAAGATCACAAGTGAAAATACAGTGCATGCACGTTGCGTATTGGAGCAGAATTATAATCAACATAAGAGGTGAATTTCTCTTACTTTTTTATGCATGCCCTTGATCTGACAAAAATTAATAATCAGTCTCTTATGAGACTTAAGAGACATCTGTTGATGTTGTGCCTTCTCAATATCAATATGATGTAACACTTTTAAACTGGGTCTTTATGCTCCATCATTAAATTAAGTACAAATGAAATGCCAAAATCAATATTATGCAATTGTTGATCCCAAAGACATACTATTAAACTATAAATCCATATGAAAATTATTCTACTTTATATAAAGTTATATTTACAAAACATGTAAATAGACTTATGAATATGAACTTTATGCAAATTAATTGGGAAAAACTTACAAAACATAACATATAACACCTATACTCCACATATCTGTTGCTGGTGAAGCAGGATCAAAGTTCACGACCTCTGGCGCCATGAACTCGGGAGTTCCGAATAGGATTCGGAGATCACCGGAAGGATCATATTTTCTTGCTAATCCAAAATCAATAATTTTTATGATGTTGCCTTCTCGTGTCAAACATAAAATATTTTCGGGCTGTAAAATAAATAAAGAATGCGGTTTTTATCTAATCTCTAAAGCATAAACCAAAAAATATACAAGGTCAGCATGATAATTATCGATGTACTTGATTAGGACTGTCAGATGTGTACCTATCAGCTGCCAATCCAAATTATCAGACATAAAACAGAGAGTCAGAACTCATATATATTTACAGAATACAAGTGTTTTCCAATTGCACAGGCTAACGCCATAGTGCCGATACAAACAGTAATTCAACTGAAATATCGCCGAATTAATGAAGATACCTTCAGATCTAAATGCAGAACTTCTCTACAATGCATAAAGGCGATGCCTTCACATATCTGTCGCATAAACATATTGCAGGCTTTCTCCGTCAAGATAAAATCATCATTGATTACTCGTTCAAAAAGCTCTCCGCCCGAAATCCTGTTCAAGAAATATGGCGTATTAATTAAGGAATTTACAGTCAACAAAAGAATTGCACTAAGACCAGATGTGGTTACGTAAATAATATAAAAGTTTGTCAATTCATTTTTTTTTTAATTTGAGACCCCTGAGTGACGTTTTTAAGCAGACATGCAATTTATATACATGTATAGTGCACTGTTGAATGCTAGTTGTAAAGAAAAAAAAGCTAGTATAGTGTTGATGTTTGCCAGTGTTGTTTTGCTATAAGTAGCGTAACACTTGAATAAATAGAATCAGATGTTTTTACAAGATTAACTAAGATTACTGAAATTCGGTAAGAGTTTCTACAGGTACGCATAATTGGTATGAAAATCTACTCACAATTCTGTTACAATGCAAAATGTATTCTTTTTCTCAAAAGCGTCATACAACTGCAACAGGCGAGGGTGCTGAAGGGTTTTCATGATGGCAACTTCGTTTATGACGTCATCTCTTTCTTGGTGACCATTTACTGCGATAAATTTCGCAGCCAAGAATCTCCCGGTTTTCTTCTCTTTACACTTTTTAACTTCTCCAAATTTTCCTCTAAAGAAATTCAAAATCAAAGGTATTGCTTTGTTGTTTTTTCGAACCGGGTGATTCGAATTTTCATTACGGTACTTCAATTCATCAATCTATAAAGTTATTTCTGATTTTGAATACCTGTACTTCTAAAACAATGCCAACAGAAAATGATAATATTAACAGATGTTAAAGAGATGATTCTTTTTGCACATATACAACTACAAGAACAAATTGTCATTTCATGGTCTTTATTCAACAATATTGCATTTACTTGTAAAAGTATACACCTTTAGAAAGCATTGAATATAAAATTTGCTAAATATTTCAGTCCTTTTTAAACTACACAATGTAGAATTTATACATATTTCAATAAACTTTTTAAAAATATGAAAAGTAAATAATTTATTGCTGTAAGGCAGTATAAAATTGTTCAGTTTATCATCAATGATAATATTTTTGGGATTTTGTAGATAAAAGTTATCTATATACACTTGATTTACCTGCCCAGCAGTAAATCTGTGACGTCATATTCTTCTGTAACCCACTTTGATTTCTTTATACTAACGTTTCTGTGTTCAAAGGTCAATTCATCTACTGCAAGAGAAATTCACAAATTTGTCCAAGAACAACATAGGATGGGAGTGCAATTTACGAAACTCTTCTAAATCGTACTAATTTACTTAAAGCTACAAATAAAACTCGTAATCTACAGATAATGAAAAATACATTTTTCCGGAAATGTTTGACTACAGAACCCTTTCAAAAAGTTGTATAATGTTACAAATGACGAATGAAAACTATCAAAAAGTAATTTACCACCAAAGTGCACATTAATTTCAATATCTTATAATGTAGTGTTTGCACCAAGAGACATCTTGGCAATTTGAAATCTAACCAACTTCATCCTTTAAAAGTCAAAAGTCAAGTATTACTGAAGATAATATTTAAAAGCGTTCTTAAATTCTGACAATTTTGTGTTTATTTTCTGTTTCTCGTTCACGTATATTTCCAGACATAAAGTACCCAGCATTCCATCTGCTCTCAAAGATTATGTATCTGCTTGTATTTTTTTTTTAAACAAAACCTTGCTGTCATGGTTATTGGAGACCTGTTGTATTATGAACGATATTTTCGTGACATAGAGCATATCAACCAAAACAGAATGTTAAAAAAACATTCAAAACAAAAGATACAAGCAAAAACTGGTTTTCTGATTTGTTCGATTTTTTGAAAGTACATAAAAGTTTTGACTGGTGTCTGCAGTTCAATATGTCAGAAAGGGTATCGTGTGGTGTTGATACAACTGCTGTTTGTCGGAAAAACACCAGATGGTGCATGAAAAAATACTAATATATTCTCTTAAAGAATTCCGACACAGTGAGCATTCAAATTTTCAACATCAATACGAAATAAGCCAGTCTTGAAAAACGTAAAGGCAAAAACAATGCTGCTGTGTACCCTCTCCGTAAAAAAGACTAAAAAGGTAACATTTAAAGAATTGTGCATTCCTCATCAAGAAACATGTACTGGTATTTTGCAAAATACAGTTTATTAAAAAAAAAGTTCCAAAACTTGGTATCAGTTGAAGACGAAAGTACCTGCTCTATTGGTCATTTATATAGTATTACAAAAACAAGTCTGCGTCGATCGACGTTTTAGCAGAAACTGTTGTTGAATGGTTTATGGTACAACTCAATTGTCGTTCTAAGTCTGGAATTCAAAAACAAAACTCTCTCAAACTCATTCTCTCTCTCTCTCTCTCTCTCTCTCTCTCTCTCTCTCTCTCTCTCGCCAAATATTGCAACATGCAACTCACATTCCACCAAGCCATTTATTTTTGACGGATCATTAAAAGTGACAGGTAAAGTGCAATTAATCGGTCTGTGAAGTTTAATAACCAACCTTGCCAAAATATATCTACAAGAGAGACTTCTAAAACGTGATGTACTTTCAGAACTGTTAATTAAAAATAGATTTTTAAATTCGTTCAGGGCACATAAGCGGTGTTGATAACTTCTATTTTTATTTAAATTGTTCTTAAGAGCGTAAAATATTTTTCTCCTTTCCCATTTATCATTTTTTAAAAAAAAAATGAAGTTAAATGCATTGGCCTATACATTCGGTGTTCTTTTCTCGTCAATTTCGCGTTGTTGAGAGGCGTTTAGACATAAGATTTAATGAATTTTTTAACTTCAGATATGCAAACGCCGTCTGGGAAATTTTACTTTTGATATAGTACCTTTTTCTGTAGAGCAACTCTCAAAATAAACAACTTGAATTTAATTTTAACAATTAAATGCAAAATTGCGCTCAATACACTGACAATTTCAGAAAAGGGGAAGGTTGCGTAATTAACAACATCCGCATTACACTTTTTTCCGAACTCATGTCATTGCTTTTAAATTCTCTCCATAATGAAATTTTTTTGTCTTGTCAGTGAATATCAAAACACTTTCATTATTTCATTGATTAGATATATTGATAAAACACAAATCAGAATGACTGTCTTTTCCCAAAGCCCCATTACTTTAGAATGATGAAAGAACACAGCGTCTCTTTGTGTTTATGATGAAAGAAGACACCCTCTCTTTGATTCATTCGTGACACTTTGATTAATAAGATCTATAATCATTCTTCATGGAAATTCAGACTTAAATAAGAAAACCACTAGTCTTCTTATTTCAGTAGTTTCAATCAATAAAGTTTAATTTATCAAGAGATATTACAACAGATTATCCATTGTCTCAATCGTACGTCCATTACCTGGACAATGCGTGCAACTTCTTTATTATAAATATAAGGGGCGGATCCGGGATTTTCTGAATCGCGAAGAACGTGTACTGTGATAATAAATAAGAAAAGGGATGTCGAGACACCCCCCCCCCCCGATCATGTTTACTCTAACTTTTTAATAATAAACCAAATCTGAAAATTTTTTCAGCATGTTCAGAGGTAGTGAGTTTCTACAAGTGAATCTTTCGGAAATAAGTCGTATATGTAACAATTTTCCTGACTTCTTGGGGCTCCCATTAATTCACTATTTAGTATACCACTTTTTGGCGTCAATATAACCTTACCTCCAGAGGGTTCACTTTCGTCTACGTGCACTTTGCTACTTTTCTTCATTTTTGCGTTTTCTATAACCATACATCTGAAAATAAAAATAAACACCATCAATGTCTCCAAGTCAATAGGAAGTTTTAACGGAATCATCAAGCCATACCGAATTTTACATACAGAAGATATTACTTAACATCAAAGCATATTGCAATTTATTATTGCTGGATAAGTGGAGATTGCATAATAGAGAATTAGAATTATCTGATTGACAGTCGTAAAAACAAAATATTTTGTATATCACATCTAATAGACAAAATCATCAGCATATGGCAGAAAGTGCGGGAGTTGTCGGTTACACAGCGGTTTTATGATGATAAGTTTATTAAGCATTGCTCTCTTTTTTCTGCAAGGATACATGGTAAACAAATCAAATCTGTCTAAAATATAGGTGAGGTCAATCGAAAGGACTAAAAGTTGTAAAAAATAGCACAAGTTAATCTTATCTGAGTTCGCTAAACATATAACCAAAATGATATTTTTACAGTAAGGAATACACGGAAATTAGATTTGCAAAAGAAAAAAATGAAAAGATAATTCGAAGTTGAAGTGTGTTTTATTGCCTTATAATTATGCCATTGCTGTTGAAACAAAAAATGCTAAAATACTGCACAGTGTGTAGATAATAAAAGTGTATAAAAATCACAAGGGGAGTAGCGAAAAAAATCCCAGGTGTATTGCTATGAAAAATAATCATCTGAAATGAAAACAAAAGGGGGCAGACTTCATTCGACCACACATCATATCCAAAAGACGAAACCAATCTGGTTTATATCATTTTGGTTCAAGTTATTACTCCGGAATTTTTTGCTTATTATCAAAATCGAGACCACACAGACTTCTGACAGGTAAATTTAATTTTAATGTTTGTAAAAAAAAATGTGTTGTAAAAACAATACATGATAGGAACTTAACCATTGAATTGTTGATCTGCATTAAAACAAAGACAGTGAAACGAAAATTTTCTTTCTTCAAAAGAGTGTTTCCCAGTTGAGAATGTATATTTTAAAAAAAATTTTGCTTTCTACAAACTTATCAGGACCATATGAAGAAACCACAACTGAGAGTTACCAAGTCATTAATGGAGTTGCTCGTCAAACCGCAGACATGTAGGCAAAGATAGCGAGACAGATGAAGAAAATAGGAATACAGAATGACTAAATGAAATGCAGATATAAAAAGACATCTGATGGAAATTTATAATGAGTCTGTTAAGAAGATCAAACACACTTGAAAACTCTGACAGAATTGTACAAATGTATACTAGTAGGTAAAGAAACTGCTGTGCTTTTCAGATTTACATGAACCCTCGATTAACCTTTAAAGAAATATGATGTTGCGCAGATCACTTCGAAAGCCTTGTAGGAATACTCCATGCAGTTAATGACTTGTAAATAAAATGCCACATCAAACGCATTTTTTTGCGAAGAACAAAGTATAGTGCAGGAAGGTGCAGGTAAACTGTGATCTTAGCACCAACGTGAACCAGCTCCTTAGTTTCATCCCTTGCTGATCTTTACTTAATTTTTCAGGATTACTTGTGTTGGTGTAGCTTGCCGTTCTCCATTCCTCTTATATTGTCAATAGCTTGCTTCTTACTGCTCGATAAACAGGCATTTAGCTCACGCTGAGTTTGACGGTGTTCTTTCTAGACGAGAAGCATGCCAGCAGTGTTTAAGTTAATCAACGTCAGTTAGATTGTTAAAAAAATAACACGGTCCTAAATATTTTCAGATATAGGTGACCTTGAATCATGTAAAGTTTACGTCGGCATGGCAAATGATGCGTTTGACATGGTTTACATGTGGATATACGGATTAAAGCTTAAATTCCGTAGAATTTTTAAAGTTATAAAGCGAAATTGCGTTTCATGTAGCTAACAATATGATGAATCAACATGCAAGTATAATTGACTGATCTTAAGGTCGCGTCAGGACATAAGAGTCTAACAATTGTTTCATTCTTCAAATCAATGCGTAGGCAGGTACATACAGTATATTTAGTTTTTTCAATTGGATTCATTCTTGCTAGAAATTATTTTCAGCATGAGAATCGAGATCGAGACGCTCCTTCAATGAAATGATGGAGTTGAAATCAGTGCCAAATTTTTGTTCCTTGGCCATTTTGGTCGAATACTTAAAGTTATCTACCTTCAAGCAAAATGCAACCAAACCGACAAAAGGATCTTGGCAATGAACAATCGACAGCTGTCGATCGGGTGACCTGACGTGATAGAATACGATGTTTTTTCCTTTTTGAAAAGAAAGAATAGATTTCTGTGTAATTAGGCGAAAAGGTGGAGCAATGTATTACCGATATTCTGACATATAAACATTATCGGATATTGACATCATTACATTGCAAGAAACCTACATCTCTCAGCAACTGATTAGGGAAACATACGTCAGTGGTTTAAAAAAAATCTGTCTTATCGCTTAATCCATTTCATCGAATACTTGTTTCCCATTCAAAGATACTTATTTGTCCTTATCGACATTTCATTAACAAAAATGCAAAAGAATTCGGGAAATCTGATATAATCAGGTGTTTGTTACAGCAAAAAACTTTAAATATTATGTACAATTTAAAAAAAAAATTCCAAAACAATGTATTTTGATAAATAATGTTCGAAGTTTTTATTATGGTTCTTTTAGAATTACTTGTTGTTTGGCAAAATCTATAAATGCAATATCATGATTACTATATAAAAATTGCGCGGAGCACATGGCATTGAGATAAATAAAATTATGCTTTATATCTTATTATTTGCTTATCTTTCTATTGGGTGTGCTTACTATTTTACGGTAATTATGAGAGAAAGAACGCCTAGCCCCCAGTTCGATAAACGTAGTTCGTTATCAGATAGTAAACACATTAACATAGAAAATACATTATAAAAGTCCCTTTTCCTTCTAAAAATTTCTTTTAATGTTTATGACAATTAGTAAAATTAAAATCCGTTCTCTGTGTTATGCCTTATTGAAAGCATCCTCATTTCTACCTTTCCTACATTCAAATTAAAGATTTGAACTACTTTTATATACAGGAAAAAAATTCTGCAATAAACGAAGTTTACATTAAAAACATTGGTTTATGCTAGCAGCTCTTTTGATTTCAACTACCACGGGAAAACATCATACAGCTAATTTCTCTTTGTAAGAAAACCGGATATGCTCGTCAGAGTCCGCAATGATGTGTTCTGGTATCTGTTTCGTATATCTGTCGTCTTCAAAGATTTTTTTAAGTAAATATTCCACTCTTTCAAATAAAAAAAAAAATATATTACTTTCTGTTCAAATGGAGACTAAGTCATTTTCCCTTAATAAAATAAAATTTACCACTGAGCTCAGACTCGATGTTTATCTGGTTTAGGATTTTACAGTAACTGCAAGCGAAGCAGCCAAAAGTTTTCATTCACTGCTTTATCAGAGGGTACATCTGAGAACGCACACTTTTCGCACTAGATAAACAAGATAGAATTTGGTTAAGTGAACGGAGATAATACTGAGATTAAGCAGTGATGTTGGATTTAAAGGAACTAATGCTAAAATTCATTTACATTATTACGTTCACTTCCGCTCAAATGCGAGTTAATCTCTTTTTTTTAAAGTTACATCACAATTGATAATCTCGTGGAAGTGTTCCAAATTTGAAATTTATTTTACTCCATGCTAAGACTGTTATGCACTAGTAGGTGCAAATCAAATAAAATGTCTGATTTGCAAATTAAATTTGTCGTTCAGATGTCTAGGGGTACGATTCATCTAAATAAGCAATGACAAAATTGAATGAAACAGGAGAGGAAAACTAGTTGTAGAAACGCTTTTTCTACGGAACATAAGACTGCTAAAATAAAGTTTCTTACATTAATTTTGATAAGTGATCTGTTTCGAAGATTTTGCATCTACAAAAATACATCAATGAAATACTCACTTAAGTTTGTAATAGCATATATGCTCGGTATGGAATGGACCCATTCCACCCTTGTTCACTTCATAATAGCACTCCAGTTTTGCACGGTTCAAATTCTTGTAGTAGACAATGCATTCCTCCACAGCTCCACTTCTGGTCTCTAGGTACTGTAGATAGAGCAGACGGTCCTGTAAATTTCATTTCCTACAAAATTTTGTCTCTCACTTGTTCCTGCCCATCCTTACACAAAGAGGAATCCAAAGCGGAAGAGAAGTTGTGACGTCATCGCGATCATTCTGAAAATCACGTGAGTTTCTTTTCTTCTTGTTTGAAGCTCGATAGACATTTTCTAATTGGTCGTATATATGTTTATTCTATGATTATAGATATGTTTTCATCAGAATATGATAAGAAATTTTAAAAGGACTTATTTTAGTACACGTATATATTACGAATAGTTTTCAAAATGTATATAAGCATAATTTTTTTGCATTCTTTAAAATACTTAATTTAAAATAAAGTATCTAAGGATTGAATAGGAACTAGACTGCATAGGATTCGCAAATATTTTTCTTAATCAGTAATTAGAGTTCGCATATATGTGTAAGATGCCGGCTAGATTCCACAAGAGAGCTAGTGTACGCAAGAAAGCAACACATTTTTTTGTTATCACGGATCATTAGACGACGGTATTTACTATCAGTGGAGCGTTTGGAACTTGTTTACTACTATCTAAAAGGTCATGACCCAGGGATAAGTGGTCACGCATCTGGTTGTTCGATTACCACGATTACTAAGTATAATATAACACTCTATAATAATTACATCGCTTTCCTCAAGAATATAGAGAAGAGCAATTCCTGAAGTTTGGCGTATAGGAATCAATCTGTAGATGCATCCCTCATAAGAAATAGCAAACTTGTCTTCTATGAATAACTTCCATTCTCTAGTATCTTGGCATCTTAGCAATGTTATTTTTTCCTTGTTATTTCTTATACAATACGACAGAGAATACATCGAAATAGTTAACTTGACTAGATTCTACGAGTTGCTGAATCTGCAAAACATGAAATATGAAGACTATGTCGGTTCAACCAATTCTTAAAAGAGACAGTGGGTCAAGACCATTCCAGTATAATATTGTAATTGGCGAATAAAACACTACATATCAATTTCATCTTCAAAATGCATTTTGTTACATGTGCAATATATATGAAAGCAATGAATTAGGCAAAGGTTCGACCGAAAGTGTCCGAGTTATGTCCTTTACATGCGGATAGTTCAAGGAAACCAGTGGCGGCAATTGTCCATCTAACATTATATGATTCTACTAATTATACCCTTATCTTTGCTCAATATTTTTCTCTTAACTTTAGCTGAAATACACAAATTTCCCTTTTGTTTCATTCAAATCTTTTGAAAGGAAAGAAAATATATTCTGTGATATTTTGTTGAATATTTAAATTTGCATTTGTATATAATATGATTATTCAAAGGTTGATATACATGTATGAAGAAAAACGCCACTTTCTATCACCGAAAAAGTGACCAAAAAGTTACAATATAAATGAGATAGAATCATGGAATTTGATTGACTCTTTATTATTCCCTGGCAACAATGTTGCGAGAAGGTTAATAACTCACTAGGAGTCGGTAAGAAATCAAGCTATTAACAGTGGACACGATGTATATCTAGAGTAAAATTTGGACATTGCTGAAGACGTTGGGTTTACCAAAGAAAACGAGTATCAAGTCACTATGAGTTTGAAACAATGGTTCGGTCAGAATATGCATATAGAGTACCAATTTACCTTATATTTTAAAACTTGCCTTAGGTAATCGACAAGAGAAACGGGCCTATACTCTTATAGATCAAAGGTCAAAGTCAAAGATTGTGATAGGAGTAAATTAGGTTGTGGATACCATTTAAGGATATCCGATCCTCAGCCATGAAGGATAACTCTTAAATTTATTATTTTATTTAAAAAATCTCAAAATGAAGCTTGAAATTGAGATCTTTTTCATTTTATGCATCTCAGTATGATTCAAGGTTCTCTGAAGTCTTACAAACGGTTTTGTAAAAAGTTGACATTTGTACCCCATAAAAAAATTAATTCATTTTTATGGAAATCGAATTTCTTTTAATCTAGCATTAGATACCAATGATTATTAGTATGATATGAAATTAAACTTGATATATAATGTCTAGCAATGATAGCACAAGCTTTTACACTATATATTATATAACAATTGAAGTAAAGATAAGAATCAAAATATTGTGTAAGCATAAAAAAGATGCTATTTTCTCCAATTGCCTGGATACCTATATTTTTGTCTTAAATTATATTTGTTGATCAATTTTCAATTAGAAAATGCATAGTTGGTGTTCTTATTCGCATTTCCTGAAAATATATTTGAGATTTGATAACATTCCCTATATAATATGATTAACTTTAATAATGAACTTTGAGGAAATACCATGGGTAAATTCACGTTACTATGAGAAATCAGAGACATTTTTGTGAGTATTTTCAATTACTTAAAAGCTGAGTTTTAAAACCTGAGGATCGGACAACATGTACCTTTAATAATATCTTTTGACGTTTCAGTCTCATAATTACTCAGGAGATACTTTCTGGCTAGAGGAAGACTTACACTTTTTGATTCTAGAGCCAAACGGTAAGATCGAATTTGAAGACAGTGAAATGGTCGGTTAAACAAAGTTTATTAAAAGAAAATACAATCTCCTAAGCAGAGTTGGCTTTCGTCCCTCTCTCAGAATCCTCTGTAATGGGTTCGAGTCAAGATTTTTGACAGAAAGTAAAAACTATGATATTCCAAATAAACTATTAATTATTCAAATTAAACTATTAGTTCTATATTTACATGTACTTAGTAAACATCTACCTTCTTTCAAATTAAACTAGTAGTTCTATATCTACTTAGTAAATATCTACCTTAAAAGACAAAAATTAAAGCAAGCATTCAATTATAATGAATTTTAAAAAAATACATTTTATCGTGCTAGTCACTGAGAATACGCGATCAACCACAGAGGTAAATGTATGAGCCAATGGTAGAGAGTAGTCCTGATATAATCCAAGACAGTGATTAATGTGGTAATTCTACCTGGATAGAGGTGGTGTTATTTAAACACCCTGGTGATGATGGAACCGTAAGTTTCCAATAGAAAAGATACATCGAGTACTGATGGGATGTTTTGCCATGGGACACATGGGGGGGGGGGGGCAAACTTGAATTTTACACTACCTGAGGATGCTTCCATATCAATATAACTAATGACTTTGTTGTTCTTGAACGGGAGATTTTTGAAGATTTTTTACTATATATTCCTTTGTAAAAATTTGATCCCCTATTTTGGCCTTCTCTTAAGGAAGGAGCTTTAGACCCCCTCCTACTTTTTTAATGTCCCCTGCTATTTCGATTCCTGCTAAAACTGTTGGAGGAGTAGCCTTTTGAAAGAATTTTACAGAAATGTCTATCTTTAGTAACCAGTGCAACATATATAAATAAATGGTCCCTATTCAGACGTGGAGATAAGCCAGTCTTAATTGTCAGTTTGTAATACACGCACACACACACACACACACACATTATATTAACGTACTGGCCCCTCCCTATTCCTGGGTGGTCATGACTTAAACAAATTTGAATCTATACTACCTCAGGATGATTCCATATTGATATGACTAAACATGGCTTTTCTGTTCTTGAGAAGAAGATTTTTGATTTTCCCCCTATATATTACTATGTAAAACTTTGATCCACCATTGTGGCCCCACCTTACCTCCTAGGGGTTAATATTTGAACAAACTTGAAACTACACTACCTGTGGATGCTTCCTTATCAGTATGACTACTCATGGCTCTGCTGTTCTTAAGAAGAATATTTTTAAAAAAAATTTCCTATATATTCTTATGTAAAACTTTGATCCCCCATTGTGAACCCATTCTACCCCCCAAAAGTCATTATTTGAACAAATTTGAATCTATTCTACCCGGGGAATTTTCCATATCAATATAACTAATCTTGACTTTGCTGTTCTTGAGAAGATTTTTAAAGATGTTTTCCTGTATTGCCCTCTGTAAAACTTCGATCCCCCATTGTTGCCCTAACCTACCCCCGGAGGTCATCATTTAAACAAAATATTGAATCTTCAGTACTTTGGGATGCTTCCATATCAGCATGACTACTCATGGCTTTGCTGTTCTTGAACAGAAGATATTTTCCTATATACTCCCATGTAAAACTTTTATCCCCCATTGTGGCCTCACCCTACCCTCGGGGGTTATCATTTGAACAAATTCAAGTCTACACTAGCTGAAAATGCTTCCATATCAATATGACTACTCATGACTTTGCTGTTCTTGAACAGAAGATTTTTATAGATTTCTTCCTATTTATTCCTTTGTATAACTTTGATGCCCCATTGAGGCCCCGCCCTACCCCGGGGGGCCTTTATTTGAATAAACTTGAATCTATACTATGTAAAGAATGTTTCCTATAGGTTTGAAATTTTTTTTGGCCCAGTGGTTCTTCAAAAGATGCCACCAAACTTTCACTATTCCTGAAATATCTCCCTTGAAAGAGGGCCTGGCCTCATTTTAATAAACTTGAATCCCTTTCAAAATTGTGGTTCCAGTCTGGGGTTAAGTATCGGGTTGAAGATAATCTCTCTCTCCTCACTGCCTATGTCGCACTCTCCCTCCCTATAGGTTTGAAATTTTTTTGGCCCAGTGGTTCTTCAAAAGATGCCACCAAACTTTCACTATTCCTGAAATATCTCCCTTGAAAGAGGGCCTGGCCTCATTTTAATAAAATTGAATCCCTTTCAAAATTGTGGTTCCAGTCTGGGGTTAAGTATCGGGTTGAAGACAATCTCCCCTCTCCGCCACCTCTCCACCCACTAATCTCTCTCCCTCACTCTCTCAGCCCCGTTCTTTCTCCATCTCTCTCTCCCTCACTCCTCTCTCTCCCTCTCCACTCCTCCCGCCCTCTCTCTCCCCACACACTATCTTTCCCCCTCCCTTTCTCCTCTCTCTCTCCGCCTTTCTCTCTACCTCTCTCCCCACTCTCTCTCTCCCCACACACTCTCTCTCTCCCTTTCTCCACACTATCTCCCACTCTCTTTCTCCTCCTCACTCCCCCAACTCTATCTTCCCCTCTCTCTCTCCTACTCTGTCCATACTCTCTTGTCTCTCTCCCCTCCTCACTTTCCCTCCCCACTCTCTCTCACTCCTTCTCTCCCCACTTTCTTTCACTCTCTTTC